GGTTCAAGGGGTTGTTTAAACCTCCATTATCTAATATAAGTATAATAAGCCTCGATGCCACACAAAGTCAGATAGCTCTGGCAACCGGAACAGGTTGCACGTCTCCCTGGAACTGTATTTGCGTCAATGAGAGAATGTGGGCCTTCCCTCAAATAGATCTGCGAGCACATGTCTCTGCCCCCCCCCCTGTCATGCAGATACTGTATATGATGATGAAATGATGCATATGTTATGCAACACAGTGTAGCCTTATTCAAATTCTGACCTTTATTTTTTAGATCTCCATTTTTAAATGGCAAAAGACGTATAGGTGTTGTACTCTGACATGTTTACAATGTAGTTCTGCTTAATCATCACTTTGATAGCCTTGGATGAAACAAGTGACTGAATGCTAACATTTCTGTAATGAATTATTGTGACTGTGTAATAGAGAGGGAAAGAAAACCGTCCAATGCAACATTAAAAAACAAAACACTTGGAAATATTGCTGCTTTCTTTAGACATTCTATTTATGGCAGCCGTTATCTTGTACACAGCAAACACTTTTCAATTGCATGTGACCCAAAAACCACTAGCAGAGGCCTTTCCCCCCAAAATCCCCATCCCACTGAGACCCTGGCTAAAACACAAACAACTTCTGTCAAAACACAAGGCCTCTGTGTGGAGCTAGCAGGAAGATCATAATGGAGTAAAATTCATGTTCATGTCAAAATCCTCCAATATTTAGACTCAACATTGCATCATGTAACATAAGGTCATCCATTCGACCTAGCAGTACAATAGCAGAATAATAAATCCCATTTACCTTAAAAAGAAAAAAAAACAGAAATAAAGCCACAGAGCCGATGCTATTTTCCAGCTTCCAGTTCAGCAGAGTGCCTGTCTTGCCTCTGGCTTGGCAGGCTGCACCAGCCTGCTTCATAAATACTGCACAACCAACGCTTGATGAAAACCCCCGCTTTTCTCAGGTATAACTGCACTCTGGAGAGCTTCATTATCTACAGTATGGATAAACTGTTCCTACAAACTGTGTGTGTTTGTATATTTGTGTTAGAGAAAAAGAAACTTTAGGATAGAAGGAAGGAGAGGGTAAAATAAAGAATACCTGAGTATTAGAACAGATTTGACTCATTTTTTAAATGTCTATAAATGTCTGTTCTGTAACAGCTCAAGCCAACTGACACATGGGCCATGAATGACAAGACCACAGAAATAAAGTGTGTTCATCCAAAGGTACAATCACTTCAGTCTGACAACATGCAGAAGCAGTAAGATTCATCAGTAGATGGAAAATGTGTTCTTATATATATATATTATATAATTATGGCAGCATGTCTTACTTTGACATCCTTGGGGTCACGATCTCATATAGGGCTGATATTTCCTATATTTCTTATTCTCTGTTCCCTTCATAATAACCACTCAGTAGCGTACTTTAAAGCGAGTTGTAAAGTTTTTTACATAAATGAATCATCAATATTTTGCAGCATTGTCACTGACAGATGTAGTGCTGCATAACTTTATTTTACACACCTAGTTAAGGTGAAGAATTGCATTACGCTTTATGGAATATAATTTGCAAAAAGTAATGTACATGGTACAGATTTTTCACCTCATTATGTAAACTTCTGAGGACAATTAATACATATATATACTTGACTGGGACATTTGTCCCCAATAATTAACGTTACGTTGCGACCATTGAATTGATTAAATGCTTAGCACCATCAGAGAGAAAAAACTTAATAAAGCCGAATCTTCGAAAGACCATAAAAAAGCTTAAAGGACAGGATTTGCATTGGACTTTCATTTGTCAGGTGGCCTCAAAAATTACATACAATCAGTAATTTAGTAAATGAGCACATTTTGGTATTTTCTTCAACTATTTTGAAAGCCAAAGTGCAATCCATCTGTTTGTCTGTCGCTCTTTCTGTGCCCTATATCAATCCCAATGTTCCTCTCCCTGGTCCTACAGACAGTAGGGACAGGCCACAGGAGGACACGCTGTCCTCAGCATCTGGTCAATTGTGAGTTTTTTTTAAGTTTCAAAGTTCAATTTGTCATCAGTCCTGTCCCAGACATGACGGGTAGAACGGGTAATGGACCTGTTCTAATAGTACAGATAGTCCACTAACTCAGCGTTCCCTGGATACCAATTAGCAATGAACAACCAAGCATCAAGAGTCAGACAGCTGATGTGGGACCAGCTCCAGCTTCCAAATGAGAGAATGAAATGAGGGAGATAGGACAATATGTGTGATTCAATATCAGGACCTCTGAAAGGTGTATCTGATGCGTTGTGAAGTGTTCCAGTGGTGACTCACCATCAGCCACACAGACTGCGTAGTACAACCTCAGGTAAAATGCACAATGAAAACACTATCTTTTAGGCTTCCTCATAAAAGTCTAAATCTATGGCTATTGCTATAATCCAGTTTATGGCCACTTAAGAATAGTGTTTTGTCATCAGCAACACCAGAACTAGAACTTTTTTTAGAAAAACACGAAATGTATCAGGTTTTGATTATTAAAAGCATGAGGACATCCACATTTTATAAACAAATTTTATAAACAAATAATACAAAAATCTAGATCTGATTTAGAAAAATCCAGGAAAATAACAAGGCTTTAAAGCAACTTTAAAGCAACTATAAAGTGTAAAGGCTAGTATACTGGCACACTAAGTACCTGCACGTCCCACTTTGAGGTGTATATACCCCTCAACATTTGCCGGGATGCAGGGGATGAGCCATCTATTTACTGCCCTCTCTAGTCTCCAAAATCTACAAATGAGATCAGGGCGAAGTTGCCAACAGAGGAAAAAGACCAGTGTAATCAGTCAGGATTACGCTGCTTCTTTAACTAAGTCATACATGGGTGAGTACGACACAAGCTCACCCACTCAGGATGATCACTGTGAATCCCCACTGTACATGCATGTGCATGGATCACCATCTCTCTCTTGTTTATTCCCCCAAAACCTATTGGTGTGTATGTCAGTTTGTCACTAAAGGGCATAAGCACAACGAGGGGCAAAGACTGCAGGAGACATTCATGGGTATAAAAAGGATGGCCAGTGGAAGCATCACTTGTTTCAGCGGGAGGACGAAAATAACAACATATCCAAATATGATCGGACATATTTTCATGATATGCAAAAGTGTGTGAGAGAGCGAGTGAGTGACATAGACGCTCTTTGTCAGCACACAAATTTAGTAGCACTTGCTGGGCTGGGCTTACAAGATGATTAATGTTTTCCTTCCTTTTCTAATTTTTACAATGCATTTACAGTCTTAGGTTTCCCTCCACACATTTGTGTTATCAAGTAGAGTATTATGACAGAATTTTATTTTTTCCATCTCTTCAAGCTTATTCCATGGCAATGTCTTACTGTTCTTCAGGGATTATAAATATGATACAAGCACAAAATACACAATTTGATATGGGTGTAAGTATAATCCTGCAGGCCACATCTGAAAGGTGCTTTAAATTTACTTTTTAAAACTCAACTCTCAGTCAAGTCATGGAGCTTAATTTGATACTTATAATTGCAAAGTAGTCACTAGAGGCTCATTGTTGAGGTTAAGTTAAACACCCTAGACTGTACAGACAAAAACAATATGTGTAATATTTATAGATACAGGAAAATACTATTTGTAAATTGTGTAAATCAAGGTAACATTGCCTGTGTGGAAAAAGGTAATATATATACGTATTTTACAAAGAACTTCAAACTCTGGCTGAACCAAAAATATAAAACCATTCAAGTAAAGGAAATTATTTGTTATTATTTTTTCAATGTGGCTGTTATCTGCGATGCTGCAAAAGCAACCAGAATGCATGAATATAAAGATAGATATATGATGGTATGCCAGTCCACAACCTAGAGTCAATCAGATGCATGTAGTGTAACCTACACATCTTTACACTTGCCAGATGTTATCCTGCTGATTCTAGAAAACAATCATAAACAGTCTCAAAATAAATGCCCAAAATAAACGTTTTTCAATGAAAAACAACCCAACAAAATTTAAGAAGGTATGTTCAGAAGCTGAAATCAGTGCTATTTTGGGATATGAGCAGTTCAAGTTGGATAACAAACAGGGATGTGCTTCAAGCTCATCGAACCAGTATTCAGGGCAGAGCACATCCACCTCATTCATGGACTTTTGGCCACATCCAACTAACTATTATTGGTCACACTGTAAACATCTACCCTTATTACTACACTTTCGTCCACTTATTCTCTAGACTCAGAATTTCCACAGAAAAAGTCCACCAATCTCCAGGTCCAGTGAGTTAAAAAACAGGGCTACTTATAGGTTTCATTTGAATTAACAGAGTGATGTTACTCGGAACTCACACTGCAATAATCATACAACACAAGAGGAGGTTCTTGTGAGGACACACTTGTATCAAATTTGGCTCCATCATCCGTAAAGTCTGGGAACACGTGCACCACACCACTGGCCAGCACCCACGATAAACAGAGGCTCTCAAAATATTTAGATGTGACCTCCTCACGCCTATGCATGCGCACACACACGCACACACACACACACTCACAGGCACACAGTAACTTGGCATGCTAAGTGTACCATCCATTTGCTTATCAGCAGCACAAACACAGCGCACAGCACAATGATGATGACCAAATTAACAGCAGTGTCAGAGCGAAGGTAAACAGCAGTGTTTGCGCGATGTGGAGGTTCAAAAACACCACACACAAAAAATACTGCAATGGCTCTCAGGAAATGCAAATGATGGCATATGGAGCAAACAAATAATATGTATGATCATAATAAAGCTTGGTATTACAGTCTGTGTTGTCCCGATTGGTCCGCTGTGATGAAGGAGACGCGCGTAAAGCTGTAACACATGCCATCAGCAAAAGAGAGAGGATACCAAAAGGCGTTATGGGGTCTAATTGAAAGGTCATAAGCAATAACAAAGCATTCTATATCATCTGTTCCAGACATCCAAAGTTGGCCATGTCTTACCTGGTCCCGCGGAATGCAGGGCAGCGAAGTCCTGCGGTGGGACTTGCTGTTGCTCTGACTGTGAGCCATCATTTCCGAGGCCGCTATGGAGCTGGACCTCCGTCTCCTTTTGAAGACAGGGATGTCCTCCTCCTTCGCCCCGGTCACAGAGCCACAGCACCCCGTCCCGCTGGTCCCTGGGGCCGGCAGGAGCCGGTCAGCATACCTCGCAAGCAAAACCCCCAGCAGCCCCAGCAGGTAGGCCAGGTAGGGTCTCCAGCTGGCCCGGACTCTGCTCAGAGAAACGAGGGAGACGGCCCTGATGACGCTAATGAAGACGAGGATGGACACTCCCTGACGCAACCGGACGACCAACAGAGCCCCGCTGCCCAGGCAGCCGAGGACTATCAGGGTGGCGGGGAGGGACAGCAGCTGCTCCTCGGCGCCGCGCAGGACTGACTGCGCCGCGGCTTCGCCCAAGTGGCACACCGCTAACAAAAAAACCGCGGTGCGGACAAGCACCCTGCAGCGAATCAGATACAGCCCGACCCAGAAGAAGGCACATACGAGTGTAAAAACGGGGGAGACGCAGTAACACGCAGTACAAAACAGGTCCACAGCGCAGCCTGCCGCGAAATGAAGACGAGAGTCGGATCCGCTGCTATTTCCGTTGCTGCTGCTGCTGCTGCTGCTGCCTGCATCCCAGTCGACCAATCTGAGCAGCAGAGCGAGAATAACGGAGACGGAGGCAACGCAGACCGCAGACGACACTCCTCGGCAAGTCCATGTCACGGCGAGTCTCAGCCACGACTGGCTCCCTGCGTCCTGGTACAACGGGGTGACACATGTCTTCACGTAGCCGTTGCGCTCCAACGCTGCCCGGGGATATTTTTCATGAGCACTTCTTGATGAACCTCTGTCGCTGTCTGCCTCCAAGGCCATCGCTGTCAGTCAAGCGGAATGCCGCGCTGACCGTCCGAGAAAATAATTGATTTAGTCTCTGTGTGAGTGTCTCAGTCTACATGTTCCACCTATAACTCCCATGATCACGCACGCTCTCTGCGCGCAGCTGACACCAAAAACATTGGTCAGGGGATGTTTGCCTCAAAAAAACAAAAGTTCAGTAAGTGTGCATATCAGTTAAAAGCTGCCAAATGATGGGGTTCACAGCTTCTCTTAGGCTTGTGGTTCAGAACTTCCCCATTACATTTGGTCTACTGTTGAGCTGCCCCCTGATAGTCAACCAGTGAACCAAAAACGCAAACTCTGGCGTTTCACACATCTAGGCCACTGTCTCCACTCCTCCACATAGTCTCTCTCTCTCACACCCTCTCTCTCTCTCTTTTACTCCCCTCCCACTAGACACTATCCCTCTTTTTTTGTGCCGCTCCGGTGATTCCTCCGTCACGTTTCAGCTCTTCCCCTGTGTTTCTGTTCATTTTGCAGGCTCCACTGTGCCCTGGATGTGACTCAGTTCGCAGTGGATGGATGCCATGTTTACATGAAGATTTCCTGGCTTGTTCTGGAAGATGGAGCAGCCCATTATGTGAATTAACTACAGTAATCCTGTTATACATTTTAGAGGTATACTCCACTGTATGAATATGACGGGAGACCAAAAAGGGATATCTTACTGCCACTACACAACTTTAAACTATATCAGTCATCTGTCTAAGGTCATTCAAAGCTCTCATGGAGGAAGCTACTTTCTTTTTTTCACTGATGTAAAAAAATATACTTTAAAAAAAGCACAATCCTACAATGAACATGAGCAGAATTTAGCTCTAATCATCTTGCTAACCATGATTTTTTTATTTATTTTTTCCTGGATTAAAATCCTAAATCACATCATCCTCTGCCTCCTGTGTGGCAGGCTGGCCGAGGACAAGTTAGAAGCCTTCACCTGTTTGCCCTACATTTTATGAGAGGATTTAAAAAGATGCACTGCAACAAAGTCTATCATCTCTTTCTGTAGTATTATTAATTCAAACTGGTTCTTTGAAAAGAAAAGTAATACATGTATTTGCTGGGCCTGCCACGTGCTTCCAATGGTTCAGAATGCTGGAGCTATAATTTGAACTGAAACTAGAAAATGTGACTGATGATATTACACCAATTTTATCTTCCCTTCACTGGCTCCCTATCAGATCACACTATCACTTTCAGTTAGTTGCTTATTCTTTGATTACTTCAGGACTTGTACCTATTACTGTTGTCCATCAGTCTCACTGCCTCTAAGCTCTCCGTATTTGTCCTGCCTACAAGACTACTGTAAACCATCTAAAAACCAGGCATCACTAATATACCACAGGCCTACATCTGAGCATTTTGTTTATTTATGTTAAGACAGCAACACCAAATTGTTATTTTTACTGTTTAGAATATTAATTCAAATATAAACTTAACAATGGGCAAGCATTAGGGAGAAGAAAATTTGCCAAAAAAAAGACCAATCATCATCCAAATTGCTGCTTTTACACAAACGTCCTGCAGTTAATTGTACAGTTTATCAGTTGTTCCGTAATGTTATTGTTATGCATTAAATATAATATGAAATAGAAAAGGGGTCGCTGAAGGAAAGGCTGGGAACAACAGTCGTAGAAGACGGATCCCTCCTATGTTGCTCTTCCTGAGGATTCTTCCATTTTGTCCATGTTTTTTGGGGGGGAAATTTCCTTATGTGAACCAGGAGTATATAGATAGACGGTGTGATTTGTGATATTTAGCTTTATAAATTAAATTGACTTATTGGAGAATGCTGTATTAGGTCTGAATGAGGCTGAAAAATTTATTTAAAACATCTGTCCAATAGATCGGGTACAGTGTGTTTTGAATATGCATCAGAAATGAGGTCTGTCTTTCCCACCCATTAGAGTTAGATGTTTGTGTAGTTTCTGATGTAACATAGGAACCATGTTTTATTACAGTGGTGTTACACAACATGGGTCAGTATAATCAGAGGAGTGAAGTCAGGTCATAAATCTCATGTTTTAGTCATCCCACCAAAATGGACAGAGGACATTTGCCAGTACAAATTGTTCGTTCTTTGTATTTGTTCTAAGCTGGGTAGGAACCTGTTTTGTAAGTCAGGGGGTTCAGAGGCCAAATAGTTATGTTTTAGATTTCATTTATTCTATATTTTTTATACTGGCTGACATCTTTCCAAAGTAAGACACAACTTTAAAGTCACAGTATGGTCCTATAAATGGCGACGCACAGGTGCAATAAAGGAGCGCACTCATTCTGGGCCGGCTCCAGCAGGGTTCAGCCTCGTCTTTGCTCTTCATCAGCACTAACACACTGTAAATCCATATTTTGGCAAAGTTAGCCATGATAATAACAATCTTTGACCCTTGACCTCAGAGATGTTGTCCAGACACTTTCCTCCAGTTGTACTGAGGAAGTGTTGTAACAGTGTCATCGATCATTGTGAAGTACTTGAAGAGAACTGGATGTGAGTGTGCATGTTTCATTTTGGCTTTCAGGTTATCTGTTTGTGGTTGCTTACACAGCCACAGGTATACATCCTGATAGTATATATTTATACTTTTGTCATATGTTCGTTCCGCTTTATGTTCTGGCCTGTCAGAGTCAGTACAGGATCAACAGGACTTCTTCACACACTGTTCTTGTGAGCTGGTGTAATGTATATAACAGGACATATCTTGTATGCTGTAGCTGTCCAATCTTGAAGATAATTCTCATTAAAAGCATACAGAAAAAACAGAAATAAAATTCTTGTTTGTGTCCATGAGGTTTGATTTTGAAGTGTTGCATTTTTTTAAAATATATATAAATGTCACTTTCAAGTTCCAGAGAACTTTTACAAGAACAATACTTTGCTAGCTCTAAATCAATGTGTTAATGTATCATGTATCACATGCTAAATATATGTAGCATTTTTATATTAAAATCCCTCTCCCTTCCAGTATAACCATCGGAAAAATTAATCTGCTGTGAGTAGCTTATCCCGCTCTATATAAAAACACACATTAGCTTGTGGGTGGCTAGCTAGAAAACCAATATCATAGGAGGTGTTTGTTTGTGATTTTCACGAATAAAAACTTTCTTTAGACTTCCAGAGAATGTGGTTGAGGTCTATTTAACCCTTCTCCTCCTGCCGCTCTGATGTTGGTGAAGGAGGTGAATGTGGAAACAAACAGTCCTCTACAGCTATGTATCGTCCAGTAATCGCAAAGCCATGGGCACTTTTGAGAAAACACATCTGGAGGATTTGTTTTAAATCACTCTCCTATAAATACCACCCACACGGGAGTCCGAGAAAAGAGTGCAATTACAAATCCGTCTGCTACTTCAACACCATGAACAGTGCCATGGATTTGTCAATACACAGCACAATTGGGCTTCTGAAGCCATGGCTGGGACTTGGGGCCATCTGACTTGCACAAACCTCAGTCAGATAAAGGATCAATGAGAGTTCATAATGCAAGGTAGACATTGTTGAATGTTCCTGATCTTTGTTAGGGGGAAATCTCCTGAAACTTTTCTTTTATAACATTCCATGTGAAATGATTACAGAATACACAGATAACAGATCATGTGAGATGATTTACAAAGCACGCAATTGGTCTGTGAGTTTCTTTGGCCATTAAACCAGTGCTGTAAAAGGCTTGAAAAGCTGTGCTTGTTAAAATAGAAACACTCCTTCAAAACTGACAAAACTGATCATTTATCAGTTATAGGTCCGGGTCCAGATAGGACGTGGTCTGGCTCCAGACCCAGACGGTGTCCTGCCAATTAGTGACCTTGGTACTAGGCGATGGCAGGTTAACAAGGGGGTGTATTTCAGTCATTTTGCTAACAAGGGGGATAACAGCCTCTCTCATTCTCCCTCAAATCACCTACTGGTCACAGGTACAATGGAGCACACTTTGGACCACACCGAATCAACAGACTTGGAATTTTCAACTAGAGAGGACAGTGAAAGGACTGCTTTTTAGCCTAGTGTTCATTTCCTCTTTAACCTAAATAAAAACTCACACTAATGCATTATAAAATACCAAATTAATGTTTTCCTTTAGCGCATCAACACTGCATGACATGGTACGTGACTCTGAGTTGCAAGTGATGTAGTTCAGTAGCCATTTTCACCCTGTTAACCCAGATATAATATACTGTGTTCAAAAATAACAGCACTACAAATATTGTCTGGACACATGGCTCCCATTTATTACAACAGCTTACTATGAAAAAGCTAAACACTTTAAGTTTCCAAATTATGGCTGACTCATAATAATAACAGTTTTTTAAATTTTGTTAGGGCTGACTAATTAGCTTTGTCATGGTTAACTTAGAGCTCTGGGCTCTGAAGATTTGGCCACGCATGCAGTGTTACACATTTTAAGAAGCTAGAAATACCCTCCGCACCACACAGAAGGACACTAAGAGGAATATGACAAGGTCGTGGGCAAATTCTAATGAAGAGTGGGTTTTGATTTCCCTTCTCTTCTCTTAAGTCAGGCTTTATAGTTAAATGGCGGGATTTTTGAGGATTAGAATGAATTGCTCAAAACGAGTCTGTTAAAGCAATCACCTAACTGCTTCTAATTAGACAATAATTTCCAACTGTCTATCTCTCACACACACACACACACATTCAAACAGGTTCACGGACAATGCATTGTAATTTATTTTGTGCTTGTGAAAGTGTAAAACGTCACTACATTTATACACTCACAAGTATACACATGGGTCCCATTTACAGCCTTGTCCTACTGCACGTGTTCATGAATAAACTACTTTTAGATATTGTTAAAGCATTTGTTCCTGTTGTCATAATATTTTTGAATAATGGCATGTAAAACTATTCATCATGTTCTGACACACTGGGCCAGAGAGACGTCATTGGCCGGTTGTTTGGCTGCCAGAGACAACAGACTGCCTGTGCTCATGCTTGTCAAAGACGAATGCAGACCAAGCAGCTGGCCCTCATATGTGTGTGCATATACCACATACATTTGAGTGTATTTGCATGTCCTGAATGCGACGAGAGACCCGTGGGCCCGTGTCTCTGGGGGCTGTGCAGCAGTGAGATGACTGTTCTCTCTCACTTCTTCCTTCTGCCTCTCCATGTTTTGCTAAACACCAGAAATGTTATTTGAAGGTGCTGCTCTGACCCTTTCCTGCTCCGAGGGGGAAACTCTTTATGTGAGCCTGTGGCACTCTACAGTTTTGGACGCAGCGGCACACTCCAACAGTGACTGACGAGAGCCTGTATTTCAAGGACACACGACTCACTGCTCTAAACAAAGCGCACCAAATTAGTTATCCCCCGCGGATGTCACAGAAAAGGCT